GATGTTTTGGTCACTTTTGAATGCTGGCGGTGCTTTCATTCTAGTGGTAGCATGAGACGGAGTCTACAACCCACACAAGTGGCTCAGGTAGTGCAGCTCATCCAGGATGGCACATCAATGCGAGCTGTGGCAAGAAGGTTTGCTGTGTCTGTCAGCGTAGTGTCCAGAGCATGGAGGCGCTACCAGGAGACAGGCCAGTACATCAGGAGACGTGGAGGAGGCCGTAGGAGGGCAACAACCCAGCAGCAGGACCGCTACCTCTGCCTTTGTGCAAGGAGGAGCAGGAGGAGCACTGCCAGAGCCCTGCAAAATGACCTCCAGCAGGCCACAAATGTGCATGTGTCTGCTCAAACGGTCAGAAACAGACTCCATGAGGGTGGTATGAGGGCCCGACGTCCACAGGTGGGGGTTGTGCTTACAGCCCAACACCGTGCAGGACGTTTGGCATTTGCCAGAGAACACCAAGATTGGCAAATTCGCCACTGGCGCCCTGTGCTCTTCACAGATGAAAGCAGGTTCACACTGAGCACATGTGACAGACGTGACAGAGTCTGGAGACGCTGTGGAGAACGTTCTGCTGCCTGCAACATCCTCCAGCATGACCGGTTTGGCGGTGGGTCAGTCATGGTGTGGGGTGGCATTTCTTTGGGGGGCCGCACAGCCCTCCATGTGCTTGCCAGAGGTAGCCTGACTGCCATTAGGTACCGAGATGAGATCCTCAGACCCCTTGTGAGACCGTATGCTGGTGCGGTTGGCCCTGGGTTCCTCCTAATGCAAGACAATGCTAGACCTCATGTGGCTGGAGTGTGTCAGCAGTTCCTGCAAGAGGAAGGCATTGATGCTATGGACTGGCCCGCCCATTCCCCAGACCTGAATCCAATTGAGCACATCTGGGACATCATGTCTCGCTCCATCCACCAACGCCACGTTGCACCACAGACTGTCCAGAAGTTAGCGGATGCTTTAGTCCAGGTCTGGGAGGAGATCCCTCAGGAGACCATCCGCCACCTCATCAGGAGCATGCCCAGGCGTTGTAGGGAGGTCATACAGGCACGTGGAGGCCACACAAACTACTGAGCCTAATTTTGACTTGTTTTAAGGACATTACATCAAAGTTGGATCAGCCTGTAGTGTGGTTTTCCACTTTAATTTTGAGTGTGACTCCAAATCCAGACCTCCATGGGTTGATACATTTGATTTCCATTCAGATCTAGGATGTGTTATTTTAGTGTTCCCTTTATTTTTTTGAGCAGTGTATATCACCGTCACACTTCAAATATGGAACATTCTTGATGGTTACTCCTTCCTGGGCAATCCTCTCCTCTCTCTCCTCTCTAGTTTGCTGTTAGTGATCTCAAACAGACCCTGACAGAGCTGACCACCTACAGCAGTGTTTGAGCCACGTACAGACTGTTATTTGGGACTACATTACCGTTCCAAATTAGACACAATCCCAAACCTGACGCTTTTAGTGCACTTAAACCATCGCAGTCAGTGTCCAATAATCAGTGATCTGAATAAGAAACTTCCTGACTATCGGACATGCTGATTGGCTTAATTTCACTGGCTGCTTGCACACCTGGTGGAAACACAGTCCGAGACCCAAATGTCACATTTCTTTTGGAAATGAGTGTTTGACAACAAGTATAGTTTTAAACAAATTGGTTCCGAAGTAGGCCTATACTTTATTGGCCAAAATGCTTCTAAAAAATACAAAAGAGATAGAAAAGACTTCTAAACAGAAATGAGGGTTGTTCCCAAAAGGAGTCTTGTGTAGGCATTAAGTTAGAGAAAAAACTGTATCATTGTGAGAAAGATAAGCTATGATAGAATATCAGTCATGCTCACTAAAATATAATGAACCATCAACTAACCATGATGACCTGGCCATAATTTGCCTCTAAAGTAATGGTAATCAAAGCATTAACTGTACATTGCTAGGAGACCAGTGAGGTTTCTATTCTCACTGTACTTACAGTGGCTTGCGAAAGTATTCAACCCACTTGGCATTTTTCCTATTTTGTTGCCTTACAACCTGGAATTGAAATTGATTTTTGGGGGGTTTGTATCATTTGATTTACACAACATGCCTACCACTTTGAAGATGCAAAATATTTTTATTGTGAAACAGACAAAAAATAAGAAAACTTGAGCGTGCATAAGACCCCCCCCCCCCCCCCAAAGTCAATACTTTGTAGAGCCACTTTTTGCAGCAATTACAGCTGCAAGTCTCTTGGGGTATGTCTCTATAAGCTTGGCGCATCTAGCCACTGGGATTTTTGCCCATTCTTCCAGGCAAAACTGCTCCAGCTCCTTCAAGTTGGATGGGTTCTGCTGGTGTACAGCAATCTTTAAGTCATACCACAGATTCTCAATTGGATTGAGGTCTGGGCTTTGACTTGGCCATTCCAAGACATTTAAATGTTTCCCTTAAACCACTCGAGTGTTGCTTTAGCAGTATGCTTAGGGTCATTATCCTGCTGGAAGGTGAACCTCCGTCCCAGTCTCAAATCTCTGGAAGACTGAAACCGGTTTCCCTCAAGAATTTCCCTGTATTTAGTGCCATCCATCATTCCTTGAATTCTGACCAGTTTCCCAGTCCCTGCCGATGAAAAACATTCCCACAGAATTATGCTGCCACCACCATGCTTCACTGTGGGGATGGTGCTCTCGGGATGATGAGAGGTGTTGGGTTTGCGCCAGACATACCGTTTTCCTTGATGGCCAAAAAGCTCAATTTTAGTCTCATCTGACCAGAGTACCTTCTTCCATATGTTTGGGGAGTCTCCCACATGCCTTTTGGCGAACACCAAATGTGTTTGCTTATTTTTTTCTTTAAGCAATGGCTTTTTTCTGGCCACTCTTCTGTAAAGCCCAGCTCTGTGGAGTGTACATCTTAAAGTGGTCCTATGGACAGATACTCCAATCTCCGCTGTGGAGCTTTGCAGCTCCTTCAGGGTTATCTTTGGTCTCTTTGTTGCCTTTCTGATTAATGCCCTCCTTGCCTGGTTCGAGAGTTTTGGTGGGTGGCCCACTCTTGGCAGGTTTGTTGTGGTGCCATATTCTTTAAATTTTTTAATAATGGATTTAATGGTGCTCTGTGGGATGTTCAAAGTTTCTGATATTTTGTTATAACCCAACCCTGATCTGTACTTCTCCACAACTTTGTCCCTGACCTGTTTGGATAGCTCCTTGGTCTTCATGGTGCTGCTTGCTTGGTGGTGCCCCTTGCTTAGTGGTGTTGCAGACTCTGGGGCCTTTCAGAACAGGTGTATATATACTGAGATCATGTGACAGTTAGATTGCACACAGGTGGACTTTATTTAACTAATTATGTGACTTCTGAAGGTAATTGGGTTGCACCAGATCTTATTTATGGGCTTCATAGCAAAGGGGGTGAATACATATGCACACACCACTTTTCCATTATTTATTTATTTGAATTTTTTGAAACAAGTAATTTTTTTCATTTCACTTCACCAATTTGGACTATTTTGTGTATGTCCATTACATGAAATCCAAATAAAAATCAATTTCAATTACAGGTTGTAATGCAACAAAATAGGAAAAACGCCAACGGGGATGAATACTTTTACAAGGCACTGTATGTACATTATGTCTAACCCTATCACATAAAGACAGGGTCATCTGGCCATGTCAATGTGATTAGATTTAACACTGTTTTGTGAAAAGGGCTAAATGTGAGAGCACATACTGCATGTAGGAAGGGTGAACTCTAAAGATCAATATTTACTCTGACAGAGATGAGGGATGCATGGGGCAAGGTTTACATTCATGGGTGATCTATTTTGCATACATGAGAAAGTGCAGATTTGTATTTTTTGTAAGATACATTGAAAACCTAGTAGAAAATGTATTATAAACTTTCAGCTCCTCTTAGCTCTCAATAAAAGCAAGCATTCTTTATACTTTTCTATTTAACTTAAATTTAACAGCTCCGAGACATGGCCATTTGCAAATGTCCAATTCTACTATTTTTAGCAAATAAAGATAATTCTAACTAGAGACATTCCAACTCTCAGGCAGTCAATATGGAGCCTCAAGGCAAAAAAATGGCTCTTGTTTGTGAATGACAGTATTTGTACCTTATATTCATCTTAGTCTGTATACCAGGCAGTTTCCCAAGCCCATGCCATGAATGGGCAATAGCATAATGTGGAATGAACACATTGTGAGCCACAACAGCTCTTTTTCCCCATTGATGACTTATCTCCCCCAAACTACAAAAATAACAGGGATAGCCTAGCCAAATATATTTACACAAATGGTATTTGAGTAGCCTGTTGCAGTTAGTTGTAGTCTATTAAAGTTTACTAAGATACTTTAGTCTTCTTACATAATTCATATTTTACTGTTATTCCACTGTTGATACACTGTCGATTTCCAGACAGCACATAAAGACCTGTCAACTTCTAAACAAGGGCCAAGCAATACACCTATGATCTGGCTCTGTGATAGTGTTTTTCTTTGTGGCAAGATAAGGCTAAGAAATCCAACTGTATTCATGCCTGTGTAAAGAACTAACTTTGTTTTCCCTAGATCAGTAATCAGCTCCCCTAGGATTGTATAACATGGGATTCATTCCCCGCACACACACACACACACGGACACACACACACAAAGGTCTACATGTGCGCTCACAAACACCTCATTCTGAGAGAGGAGAGGAAAAGGAGTGAGAGGATGTGAAGCCATGATTTCCCCCGCTTTCCGCTTTCATGAGGTCATAGTGACCATCAGGCTTAACAACCACTAGACTGGAGCTAGACCAATAACAACATGTTGCTGTTCCACAACAGGAAATATAAAAACATATTTTCAAGAAAACTCAGAAATCTCAAGAAAACTGAGCTAAGGATGAAATAGAAGTTACGAGTATTATGTGTAACAACGCATGTAAAACCACTTAAAAGTTATAACTACAAACTAAGCTCTCTGATTTGTTAATATTTGAGTATAAAGCAAGTCAAGAATCATCATTATTTGTTGATCACGATAATTTAATATAGACAAACTTCTATCATGGGGAGTTGTCATCTTGTTCATGGTATATTGCTCAACTGCGAATGGCATTTGTACAAAAGACACAAACAGGTTACATGAAAGAAACAGATTTCAGGAGACAACAGATAGTTAATTTTTTGCTTTTCATGTACAGATCATATTATATATTTCAAAGACAACCCTCACTTTTCGTGTATGTTTCACTGCAGACGTTGTAGGGACCCAACAATTTATGAAAAAGTACCAGTAATATCCATTGATGCTTTGCGGTGGTATATACCGCAGTGGATGCACCCTTGTTGTAGAGTAAGCCACAGTGGATGGGATCAATCCAGCTGTGTGTTCAGTGTTATTGTGAAGCTGCCTTTGCTGCCTGACGGGCCTGTCTCTCCTCCTCAGCCCTCTCCCTCATCTCCTTCTCTCTTCTGATGAGCTGCTGCCTCTCTGCCTCCCACTCCCCTACCTTCCTCTGGTACTGCTCCATGTCAGGGCCCTCTGCTGAGGCCAGGCCCTGCTGGACCAGGCTGGAGACCAGCACCTGCAGGGGACTAGGGTCCACCTTACCCCCAGACCGGAGCTGCCCGCTCAGCTCCTACACATGGCCAGAGGAGAGGAGGTGGTTAGAAATGGGGTCTATGGAAAAGGAGCGATTAAGTGTAACTGTTGTTATAGATTGAGTGCTTAATAGCAATTTATTCACTTTCTCAAAATTAGAAATCTGCAATCATAACACAACATACATGTACTGTCCATACACATTTTGTCCCCGTTTGATTGACTGATCTTTGCCCAGTCTCTACCTTGAACCTGCTGACATAGAGCGGTAGTTTCTCTCTCTCTGCCTGGTCGTCTTCATCCTCCTCCTCCTTCTTCTTCCCCTCCTCCTCTCCTCCTAACTCGTCCTCTCCAGAGGAGGAGTTGGAGTCCGAGGCAGAGGACAGGTCCTGGAGCAGGCCCTCCAGGTAATCAACCTAGGAGAAACACACACACACAGACAGAGAGATGTAAGGAAACACACAACTGGGACAGCCGGACATGCACTCAGACAGACACAATTACTTGCGAAGCCACACTGGAGCATCCTCTCATAGACGTCCATCAGGACAAAAGACTGACACGAAAACAAACAAACACACACAGACAATGACACACACAATGAATATGTCCTGTCTGTCCTGACCTACACAGAGTCATCAGGTCTGACACTGTCCTGCTTTCTAGCAAATCTGGTTTGGAGCCCAAAGGAGAGATTCTTACAGATTTCCCCTGGGCTCCAGACTTCCATAAATCAGATTACTCTGTTCAGAGTTGAACTATTGAACTGGACAGCGCTAGAGGAGTGCTGCACCAGGGTGCACTGACGTGTGGCAGGGTATAAATAACACAGATATCGCAACACTAAACCCTGGAGATAAAGACTCTGACTGCGTCATACATCGTACCTGGACAGTAACAGCTCTCTCCTGCCACCAGGTTTGTGTCAAATGGTAACTGTGTTATTTGCAGCATTTGATGAGTTAACTGAAATTGCTAACAATCAGCTCTGTAGCAGTATAAACTGCATGCTTCTTACTCGTGGTAACACAATGACTTACTATTATACGTGTGTAATGTGTTACTAATGATGTTGTTAGTGTGAGAATAATTGAACAATTGCAGAAAGTACAGCACTGAGACAGGTATTGGTAATTAGGCTACAGTGGGGAAAAAAGGTATTTAGTCAGCCACCAATTGTGCAAGTTCTCCCACTTAAAAAGATGAGAGAGGCCTGTAATTTTCATCATAGGTACACGTCAACTATGACAGACAAATTGAGGAAAAAAAATCCAGAAAATCACATTGTAGGATTTTTAATGAATTTATTTGCAAATTATGGTGGAAAATAAGTATTTGGTCACCTACAAACAAGCAAGATTTCTGGCTCTCACAGACCTGTAATTTCTTCTTTAAGAGGCTCCTCTGTCCTCCACTCATTACCTGTATTAATGGCACCTGTTTAAACTTGTTATCAGTATAAAAGACACCTGTCCACAACCTCAAACAGTCACACTCCAAACTCCACTATGGCCAAGACCAAAGAGCTGTCAAAGGACACCAGAAACTAAATTGTAGACCTGCACCAGGCTGGGAAGACTGAATCTGCAATAGGTAAGCAGCTTGGTTTGAATAAATCAACTGTGGGAGCAATTATTAGGAAATGGAAGACATACAAGACCACTGATAATCTCCCTCGATCTGGGGCTCCACGCAAGATTTCACCCCATGGGGTCAAAATGATCACAAGAATGGTGAGCAAAAATCCCAGAACCACACGGGGGGACCTAGTGAATGACCTGCAGAGAGCTGGGACCAAAATAACAAAGCCTACCATCAGTAACACACTACGCCGCCAGGGACTCAAATCCTGCAGTGCAAGACGTGTCCCCCTGCTTAAGCCAATCCATGTCCAGGCCCGTCTGAAGTTTGCTAGAGTGCATTTGGATGATCCAGAAGAGGATTGGGAAAATGTCATATGGTCAGATGAAACCAAAATATAACTTTTTGGTAAAAACTCAACTCGTCGTGTTTGGAGGACAAAGAATGCTGAGTTGCATCCAAAGAACACCATACCTACTGTGAAGCATGGGGGTGGAAACATCATGCTTTGGGGCTGTTTTTCTGCAAAGGGATCAGGACGACTGATCCGTGTAAAGGAAAAAATGAATGGGGCCATGTATCGTAAGATTTTGAGTGAAAACCTCCTTCCATCAGCAAGGGCATTGAAGATGAAACGTGGCTGGGTCTTTCAGCATGACAATGATCCCAAACACACCGCCCGGGCAACGAAGGAGTGGCTTCGTAAGAAGCATTTCAAGGTCCTGGAGTGGCCTAGCCAGTCTCCAGATCTCAATCCCATAGAAAATCTTTGGAGGGAGTTGAAAGTCCGTGTTGCCCAGCGACAGCCCCAAAACATCACTGCTCTAGAGGAGATCTGCATGGAGGAATGGGCCAAAATACCAGCAACAGTGTGTGAAAACCTTGTGAAGACTTACAGAAAACGTTTGACCTGTGTCATTGCCAACAAAGGGTATATAACAAAGTATTGAGAAACTTTTGTTATTGACCAAATACTTATTTTCCACCATAATTTGCAAATAAATTCATTAAAAATCCTACAATGTGATTTTCTGGATTTTGTTTTCTCATTTTGTCTGTCATAGTTGACGTGTACCTATGATGAAAATTACAGGCCTCTCTCATCTTTTTAAGTGGGAGAACTTGCACAATTGGTGGCTGACTAAATACTTTTTTTCCCCACTGTACATACGGCGTCCTTTGATAGTTTGCTATCTCCAGGAGCGGCAGCTACTCTCTCCATAACAGCCAGGGCCTGGCTCAGATACCCTGGGGTCCACATCAGAGGCATGCCCCTGAACACAGCATGGATCCCAGCAGCCATCTCCACCTTACCTAGAGACAGACAAAGAGAGAGGAGCAGGGAGAGGAAACTATCAGAGACTTGATCAGCACAACATGACAACCAGGGCAAAGACCATGTGGCATGGAGAGAGAGAGGTTGATTTCAATGATGTCTGACAAGAAGATGAAGAGGAGGGATTCTTGAGAAATGGAGAGAAATCCTCCTCCTTCTGCCATCACCAAAGGGTTAGGAACATGAGGAAGGCCCAGGCGTGTGGTATGACTGGATGAACACATACCTAATAGAGCACAGCCCAGCAGTTGAGCGCTGAGGCCTGTAGAGTTGTCCTGCTTCAGACCACATTTCAGCAGTGCTGCTCCCAGAGCCCTCTGCTCTGACACCTGTAGTGAACCAACACACACACACACACACATGCTTCAGACAGCACTAGCACAACGTTTACAAATTGCACAATAACTCAATTATACAGAAATAACTGTGGCTGCTGAATTCAAACTCCTGCATTTCCATATTTTTTTATGGGAATTATGTTGTGCTGGGATCCGACTTTACTTTTCTACACAAATAGGATTATGTCCTCCTTACGTTTCCAACAATCGTTCATTTCTACAAAATCCAGACATTCCAAATGTACTTTGGCACGATAACTTCCCCAGACATGTTGGTACACACACAGTACCAAGCTGTGAATGCTACTTTACTTACGCTGAGCTCTGGTTTGGTTGCTAGGTAACTGCTCAGTGCATACAGGGACAGGATCTGTGTTGATGGTAGATCAAAAGACTCCTGAAGCATCACCTCTTCCACGACAGAACAGGCACCTACGGAAGAGGAACAACCTTTTTAGGTTTTAAGGTACATATAGTATTATATATGTGAATATAGAATATACATTATTGGTTTAGTTGAGTTTAACTGAGTTTTTCCAAAGGGGTCCTGGGATAACTTTACAGTTTGACAGATAATACTGTTTCAGACGTCAGAGACTCTTCACCTTTGAAGTCTTCATCTTTTATGAAGGAATCTATCAGCAGGTTGAATGTGAAATCATCTGGGAACATTCCATATTGCACCTAAATACAGAAACAGAGAACGGTAAAAAAAAAATATATATATATATATATATATATATATATTATAGTCAACCTCAGAAATGGAGGTTGTCAAACTCTTTAGAATGAAGGTTTTCAACAAGCACCATGTATTGGACAATACAATTCCAGTTAGAATGCAAATAAGAATGGTATGGTCATGGAAGGTTGGGTGCAAATATAGAGGACAGTTTGTGGAACTGTGTTTCTATGGCTCTGCTCGGCATAATGTAGAACTACCTTGTTCTTGAGGGTGTGTAAGGCCTTGTCTCTGGCCTCGTATCTGAGACACTGTCTCACCCAGCTGTGGACGGTCCAGTCTCTGAGGTACCAACAGTTTGGGCTGTGGCGAAATCTAGAGGAGAGAGATGTTCAAACGTTAAAAAACAACAACAAACAAGACATGAATGTTTATGACTTCTGTCATGTCCTTATTATGATGCCTTTATGTAGCCTTTATGATAGATGGGTCAAGTCAAGTGTAATCGCTTCTTAACCCATAGGCTTGCAACACAATATTCATGTAAATCTTTTAATCACATAAGAAACCGATTCCAGAGAACAGATAGCTCTAACACAGCACAGAACAAAGAAACATGTGACTGAACATAAATACGCCACAAAAGACTAGGACAAAACAGAGGTCCGAACATAGAGGATTAGCCAGCAACTTAGCCCAGGACGTGAACACCCTAACTAACAAAAGAACATTACAGGGCGTGCAAATGAGGCTTACTTATAAAGATAGTACTCTGCTTGATCAACCTCTTCTCTTGACGATATGTTGTCAACAAACTGAAAAAGAAAATGGACAGAGAAATTATGGTTATTATTTCACTTTGACTACAGGTTGATCAGAACATAAATCATATTAGCTATGGTGCCCGTCAGATTCTGTATTAGCTAGGGTTGCAAAATCAATAAATGTCCTGGTTTTACAGAAATCCTGGTTGGAGGTTTTCGGATTTCCTGCTTATTCGCCCCCTAATCCAGGAATCTTCCAACTGGGATTTCTGGAAAAATAGTGAATTTATTGAAAGTTTGTGAAATTCTGCAACCATAGTTTAGTCAACATATCTGATTCGGTTTTAGCCTAAAGGTACCTGACATGACAATGAAGTAGTTTTCTAAAGCAGAAACAGGCTGACATCCAGGCTAGAAGGGTGTAATCTCTCTGTACTCTAACATGCTCTTACCCGTGATATTGTCAGAGAGCTGACAGGGAAGTTTCGGTCATAGGTCCTGTCCATCAAGGCGGCCATCAACGCTGTAGATTGGCATGCACATTCAGCTTGATATTCACATTTCACAACAACAAGTCCAAGCTGAAACTCTCTGACATTTAAAAATATGACTTTAAGCCTCGAAGCATTTTATAGTATGAATGACACAGCTAGCTAACACTGCCCCCCTGTGTTCATTTGGTGCAGACACTCACAGACATTGTCATCGATTTACAGTTGTTATGTCTTCATGGACTTATGCACAGAATAATGTCTATTCTATATTCACTCGTAGATCCATGGGTCTCAGAAAACTAAAACGCAACTGATGTCATGTCCACTTGACAGTTAATGTGTGACAGCTGTGTTTGAGATCCACTTTTCATTAGTTGTGATGGGTAGTGACAAAGAGGATGGTTAGTCATTAACAATACACCATTGGTAATGAGTGTCTTTGGGTGGATAGCTTACCCAGATTTTGATTATCTTTCTCTCTCTCCTCCCATAATTTGGTGTCTGTGTATGCTGCTGAAAGTAGACATCTTCTGGCTGTAGGATATAAACAAGAATGATCACAAGTTACATGGGATAGACAATGCTGGACACTGAAGGTAACATGCACAATGCAATTAATTGCGATTACAGTACAAGCAAATACTAAGGTCAATCATTGAACAAACGGGAGAAGATGCATCTGATTTATCTAGTTATGAGTTAGGTCAGAATGGGTTCATTATAGGTAGCTAACGTTAGCTAACTAGCCATCTGGCTAGCCCGCTAGCTACTCGCTTGGCAAAAGACAAATAGTTCGGTAAAAAACGGCCAATCAATCAATGATAGCAATGATACCTTTACTGATTTAAATAATTCTTTTTTATATATACAATATGTACCTATAAAACTGTGACTTCCACATTTATGGATAACTTTGACAGCTCCTAAACAGCGTTGCAACACGGAGGCTGCCATCTTGGGACGATATCACTATGACAGAGGGGGGCAACAATTTTGAGTAAGAGAGAGAGCTGTGCTCAAATAAATGTGTAATGCGGACCATAACACCATGAAAAATGTTATGTATAATAATTAAATAGAAACGACGTTAATATTTCTAAATACTGTAATTATGTACGTTTAATTTAAAATATCAAACACAACATTAGAATGAACCCCTTTCTATGTATTGGTACGGCCTCAAGCGCCTGTTACGGTGAACGTCCAATGTCAATTGCCCCAGAGGCTAATTAATTGGTAATATCAAGTGTGTTAGCTTCCATTGTTTGGGCCACAATATTTTCTCACAACATTGTGTAGGTGCCTTCTGCCTACTAGGCTTTTTCTTCACACATAGTCGTCAACCTGTGATTTTTGTTCTTCTGTGCTCTTGTATGTTTATGTCAATTGATGTACATTGTTCTATCCCCCCTCCTCCTCTTATTGGAAAGTCTAGTGAAGCTGATCTATGCCTACGGGAAAACTGATGACATCGGGTACCATGGCAAAAGAAGGGGGACCAAGGAGGTGAACCTGCTCAAGTTCATGCCCAGATCCAGGCCCCCTGACATCAACTATCTGGACTGTTGGGGAGAATGTAAGAGTGACCTCACACACATGAGGTCCTGTAGCAGGATCATGTTGTCCCTCAAGATCAGGCACAGCAGGACTTTTAGTTTGAAGTAAAGTACTGTATTTTACTTTACTCTTGGGCTTGAACAGGTCAAACATGATTGAATTAAATGGAATTGAATTGTTATTGTGATATTGGTATCGGGAGGTAGTATCCTTAGCTTACAACATGTGACTGTGGAACAGAATGTATTGGCAACACATAGGTTACTGTCCCTGCCGAACAGGTTACTGTCCCTGCCGAACATACAGTACATACTACCACTGCAAGGTAACAAAGGTACCAAACCTCAACAGAAACAATTATATAATTCGGGTAAATTACCCCTTTTTCATTTCATGGTATAAGCATTTTACAATTACAACATATGTTTGTGATTAGAGTCCATCTCTTACCTTTCCCTGCTCCTTCCCATGTCTCCCTCTCTCTCTGTCGATCTCAGATTGAGCCGGTGATCGAGCACCTGGACCTGGTCCACCACATGCTGGTCTATGGCTGCCCCTTGTCTTTGAAACAGACCTAAGTGCATAAATGCTTCATGGGGGTACCAGCGGATGAATGCTTCAGAGTGGTGTTTGCCTGGTGTGTGGGAGGAGGGGTGAGAGGTTACCCCCGTTCTGGAGACATTAATACTTACACACATGCATGCAGGAACACACACTCACACACATGTTGTCTGAGCTCTGACTCTACAGCATCTTCTCCATTCCAGGCTTTTGATCTTCCAGAAAGATCCCTGGCATCCCTATTGGAGGACAGGATTATGATGACTTCTACAGGCTGGAAATTCACTACAACAACCCTAAGGCTTGGAGGGAAGCAAAAGTCATTCCGCTACCTAAGAATAGTAAAGCCCCCTTTACTGGCTCAAACAGCCGACCAATTAGCCTGTTACCAACCCTTAGTAAACTATTGGAAAAAATGGTGTTTGACCAGATACAATGCTTTTTTACTGTTAACAAATTGACAACAAACTTTCAGCATGCTTATAGAGAAGGACATTCAACAAGCACAGCACTTACACACATTACTGATGATTGGCTGAGAGAAATTGATGATATAGAGATTGTGGGGGCTGTTTTGTTAGACTTCAGTGCGGCTTTTGACATTATCGATCATAGTCTGCTGCTGGAAAAACAGATGTGTTATGGTTTTACACCCCCCGCTATAATGTGGATAAAGAGTTACTTGTCTAACAGAACCCAGAGGGTGTTCTTTAATGGAAGCCTCTCAAACATAATCCAGGTAGAATCATGAATTCCCCAGGGCAGTTGTTTAGGCCCCTTGCTTTTTTCCATCTTTACTAATGACATGCCACTGGCTTTGAGTAAAGCCAGTGTGTCTATGTATGCAGATGACTCAACACTATACACGTCAGCTACTACAGCAACTAAAATAACTGCAACACTAAACAAAGAGTTGCAGTTAGTTTCGGAATGAGTGGCAAGGAATAAGTTAGTCCTGAATATTTACAAAACTAAAACCATTGTATTTGAGTCAAATCATTCACTAAACCCTAAGCCTCAACTACATCTCGTAATGAATAATGTGGAAATTGATCAAGTTGAGGTGACTAAACTCCTTGGAGTAACCCTGGATTGTAGACTGTCAACATTAGCTCACATTAATGACATGTATGTTAGTCTCTCCTGGCTCAGAGTGGAAGCGAGATTAACTTCATCACTGCTTGTTTTTGTACAAGGTGTCGACAAGCTGAATGTACCGAGCTGTCTGTTTGGAATACTGGCACACAGCTCGGACACCCATGCATATCCCACAAGACATGCCACCAGAGGTCTCTTCACAGTCCCCAAGTCCAGAACAGACTATGGGAGGTGAACAGTACTACATTGAGCCATGACTACATGGAACTCTATTCCACATGCAGTAGAAGAAGATAAAAAAAAAGAAGGTAAAAATACACCTTATGGAACAGCGGGGACTGTGAAGCAACACAAACATAGACACATACATACATACAAACACACGATAACATACGCACTATACACACATGTACACATGGATTTTGTGTAGTAGAGTAGAGGTCTTAACTGCCTTAATTTTGCTGGACCCCAGGAAGAGCAGCAGCTAATGGGGATTCATAATAAATACAACTACAAATACAAATTTCAGAGCCGATCTGAATGGTCAAAATACAAATTTTTGGAAAAACAACAATTATTGAAACAAATATCAGAATTAGGCTTCCTGTCTAAACGCAGCCATAGATGCTCAGTGTCCATTAACTAAAATAATATTTTTGCATATTAAGCTACGTAAAAATATGCTTTATTGTATATATTTCCAGGTTTTAGGTTGGATACTTTTTTCAAAAAATGGACTTTGTTGATTTTCGGTAATGGAGGCACAGGTAACGGAGGTACCCAATTCTAAAACCTGATTTACATGAATTAAATCCATTAACAAATAATTTTTACACATTCAATCTTTTAAAGTAATGTCCAATCATTAACTAAAAAGGATAATAATGCTTCTAATATACATACTGGAGATGCCATTTTCTGTAGAAAAAAGGGGAAAACTTGCAACTGTCACGCCCTGGCTCTGGGGACTCTAGTATGTTGAGCCAGGGTGTGAGTTTTCATTAGTTTTTCGTTCTAGTTTTGTAGTTCTATGTTGGCCAGTGTGGTTCTCAATCAGAGGCAACGTGTATCAGCTGTTGCTTGTTGTCTCTGATTGGGAACCATACTTAAGCAGCCAGTTTTCCCACAGTGTTTGTGGGATCTTGTTCCAATTAGGTTTGTGTTTAAACCGAGGACGTCATGTTATCGTTTTGTTGTTTTGTTCGTTTATCATTAAATAAATAAATAAGTATGTTCACCTTCCACGCTGCGCCTTGGTCCTCCTCTCTTCCCGACGATCGTGACAGCAACAAAGTCATTCTTGATGTTGTACAAAGTAACACTACGTTTAAACAAACCATCATAATAACTTTTGATAGGATCCAGTTACAAACAAAATGAAGTGTACTCCATAAATGGTAAAAAAAACATTTCTCATTGTATATATACACTGAACAAAAAAATATAAACGCAACATGCAACAATTTCTAAGATTTTACTGAGTTACAGTTCATATAAGGAAATCATTCAATTGAAATTCATTAGGCCCTAATCTATGGATTTCACATGACTGGGAATACAGATATGCATGTGTTGGTCACAGATGCCTTAAAACAATGGTAGGGGTGTGACCACCATTTGCCTCACACAGCACGAAACATCTCCTTCGCATAGAGTTGGTCAGGTTGTTGATTGTGGCCTGTGTAATGTTGTCCCACTCCTCTTCAATGGCCGTGCGAAATTGATGGATATTGGCGGGAACTGGAACACTCTGTCGTACACGTCGATCCAGAGCATCCTAAACATGCTCAAGGGTGACCTGTCTTGTGAGTATGCAGGCCATGGAAGAACTGGGACATTTTCAGCTTCCAGGAATTGCATACAGATCCTTGCGACATGGGGCTGCGCATTATAATGCTGGAACATGAGGTGATGGCGGCGGATGAATGGCACAACAATGGGCCTCAGGATCTCATCACTGTATCTCTGTCCATTCAAACTGCCATCGATAAAATGCAATTGTGTTCGTTGTCCGTAGCTGATGCCTGCCCATACCATAACCACACAGCCACCATGGGGCACCCTGTTTTCAACATTGACATCAGCAAACCGCTCGCCCACACAACGCCATACACACTGTCTGCCATCTACCCGGTACATTTGAAACCGGGATTCATCCGTGAAGAACACACTTCTCCAGCATGCCAGTGGCCATCGAAGGTGAGCATTTTCCCACTGAAGTCGGTTATGACGCCGAACTGCAGTCAGGTCAAGACATTGGTGAGGACGACAAGCACGCAGATGAGCTTTCCTGAGACCATTTCTGACAGTTTGTTCAGAAATTCTTCGGTTGTGTAAACCAACAGTTTCATCAGCTGTCCGGGTGGCTGGTCTCAGATGATCCCGCAGGTGAAGAAGCTGGATGTGGAGGTCCTGGGCTGGCATGGTTTCACGTCATTTGCAGTTTTGAGGCCGGTTGGATGTACTGCAAAATTCTCTAAAATGACATTGGAGGCGGCTTATGGTAGAGAAATTAACATTCTGGTGGACATTCCTGCAGTAAGCATGCCAAGTGCACACTCCCTCAAAACCTGAGGCAGCAGCTACTCTTCCTGGGGTCCAGCAAAATTAAGGCAGTTATACAATTTTTTTAACATTACAATACATTCACAAAAGATTTCACAACACATTAAGTGTGTGCCCTCAGGCCACTACTCTACTACCACATATCTACAACACAAAATCGATGTGTACGTGTGTGTAGTGCGTATGTTATTCTGTGTGTGTATGCATGTGTCTATGCCTGTGTTTGTGTTTGTGTCTCTTCACAGTCCCTGCTGTTCCATAAGGTGTATTTTTATCTGTTTTTTTATCAGATTCTACTGCTTGTGTGACAAGACTGCACATTTTAGAGTGGCCTTTTATTGTCCCCAGCACAAGGTGCAACTGTGTAATGATCATGCTGTTTAATCAGATTCTTGATATGCCACACCTGTCAGGTGGATGGATTATCTTGGCAAAGGAGAAATGCTCACTGACAGGGAGGTAAACAAATTTGTGCACAGAATTTGAGAGAAATAAGCTTTTTGGCGCATGTAAAATTTCTGGGATCTTTTATTTCAGCTCATGAAACATGGGACCAACAATTTACATGTTGCGTTTATATTTTCGTTCAGTGTAGCATCAAGTGACTCAGAATATATATATTTTTTATATAGATGCTAACCATGGCGTAACCTTCTCCTTCTATGGACTCTAGTGAGTAGACTGAACAATGGTTTAATACACAAAATCATGTTTTTTCTGTACAGTTCGATGTTGTTTGTACAATACAACAAGAATACTGTAAAACTTTGCTTAAACATTATATTTCAAAATTCCATCCTTGGACAATAAATTAACAAATCATTATAAAATGAAAGAATGGTTTCCAATTCCCATGTAGTTTAAATGTTGTATCATAATTGTAACATTATGCACTATGCAAAGCTGGAAAAAAAGTATTTTGTGTCATACACACAGCATAGAATGTTTCCCCTTCAAGTCTATGGTACATGAAATGCATTGGGATTCATGACAATATGTTTGTTGTCACGCCCTGGCTCTGGGGACTCTTAAAAGTTGAGCCAGGGTGTGTAGTGTCTATGTTGTATTTTCTATGTTCATGTTCTAGATCGTGTAGATCTATGTTGGCCAGGGTGGTTCCCAATCAGAGGCAGCTGATTCTCGTTGTCTCTGATTGGGAACCATACTTAGGCAGCCTGTTGGCACTAGTTATTTGTGGGATCTTGTTCCGTAAGGTTTGTTTTGGTGTGTTAACCTAGGACTTCACGTATCGTTTGGTTTGTTGTTTTTGTTCGTGTGTGTACACAATAAAAGGATGTACGCTTACCACGCTGCGCCTTGGTCCGCTTCTTATAACGATCGTGACAGAAGATCCCACCAAAAGAGGACCAAGCAGCGTGTCCAGGAGCAAACGCCGGAGGTTACGTTAGAAGATGTTCTCCTCGGTTGGGGGAGGATCACGGAGGAGGAGGCCGTCCGTTACCGGAGGGCGATGAATGAGGAGACCCAGGTAGGAGAGGAGAAATGGCGCCAACCGTGCCGACGACGGACACGCGAGAGGCAACCCCAAGAAAATGTTGGGGGGGGGGCACACGCCATGGACGACGGGGCAGCAGGAGGCAGCTACAGGGCGAATCTGCAGAATAGTAGAGGAGGCCACCAGGTTACGGGGGCTATTGGTCATGAGGGAGCAGGAGTTAATTGGTCAGAGGGAGGAGCTACTGGAGGCGATAAGGGAGAAGGAGAGTGTAGAGGCACGGCGAGAGGAACTGAGTAGGCAGCAGAGGGAGCGGAGGTTTATGAGGAAACCCAGTCCCGCTCCTCGCACCAAGCAAGTGGTGTGTGTCACCAGTCCGGTCTGGCCCGTTCCTGATCCCTGCACTAAGCCAGTGGTGCGTGTTCCCAGTACGGCCCGACCCATTCCTGCTTCCCGCACAAGGCCAGTGGTGTGTGTTCCCAGTACGGTCCGGCCCGTTCCTGCTCACCGCACTAAGTTAGTGGTGCGTGTTCCCAGTACGGCCCAACCCGTTCCTGCTCCCCGCACTGAGTTAGTGGTGCGTGTTCCCAGTACGGCCCCGACCCGTTCCTGCTCCTCGCACTAAGCCAGTGGTGCGTGTTCCCAGTCCGTCCCGGCCTGTTCCTGCTCCCCGTACCAAGCCAGTGGTGCGCGTTGTCAGCCCGGTCCGGCCCGTTCCTGCTCCCCGCACCAAGACAGTGGTGTGCGTCGCCAGCCCGGTCCGGCCCGTTCCTGCTCCCCGCACCAAGCCAGTGGTGCGCGTCACCAGCCCGGTCCGGCCCGTTCCTGCTCCCCGCACCAAGCCAGTGGTGCGCGTCGCCAGCCCGGTCCGGCCCGTTCCTGCTCCCCGCACCAAGCCAGTGGTGCGCGTCGTCAGTCCGGCACGGTCCGTGCCTGTTCCACCGGTGCCTGGTCCGGCACCGGTCAGCTGCTCCACACCAGAGCCAGAGCAATCCGCTCCACCGATGTCCAGTCCAGCTCCGGCCAGCGGGACCAGACCAGGGGCGCTACGGGGGGGTAGAGAGAGAGTGGTGGTCACGCCCGGAGCCGGATCAGCCTCCGAGGCGGAATGCCCACCCGGCCCCTACCCTCTTGTGTTTTGTTGGCGCGGTCGCAGTCCGCGCCTTTGGGGGCGGGTACTGTCACGCCCTGGCTCTGGGGACTCTTAAAAGTTGAGCCAGGGTGTGTAGTGTCTATGTTGTATTTTCTATGTTCATGTTCTAGATCGTGTAGATCTATGTTAGCCAGGGTGGTTCCCAATCAGAGGCAGCTGATTCTCGTTGTCTCTGATTGGGAACCATACTTAGGCAGCCTGTTGGCACTAGTTATTTGTGGGATCTTGTTCCGTAAGGTTTGTTTTGGTGTGTTAACCTAGGACTTCACGTATCGTTTGGTTTGTTGTTTTTGTTCGTGTGTGTACACAATAAAAGGATGTACGCTTACCACGCTGCGCCTTGGTCCAATTCTTATAACGATCGTGACATTTGTAGTGTGAAGTATTAGTATCAGTTTCTTCAAGCAACCTGACCAGTGGCAGTCTGGACTTTCTGATGTTGATAGCTTATGGTTCTGGTGCTACAGGTGGTGGCAGCAGCATAATAGTGATAATGAACAGTTTCTAAAGTTGTGCTTTCACCAAGCACACCTAATAAAACACAAGTCTAGTAGGCTCTATAAATACTCCAGAAAACTCAGTATTTTTGTTGTATTTCCTTCAGGATTATCATGCCACAAGCAACGGATTTCCCTTGGTGGATGAGAAACAGGACTACACCCTCCTGTCCCTGACCGAGGCAGACGGTCAAACCACCATGACCTTCTGGAGGTCCATCCAGTCATGTGACTAGGACGACTTCCACATCACTGCGAGTCAACTGTTTTGCAGACAAACTGTTAACAAGTAATGTGAACTGAAAGCAATAAAAGGATTAAAGCGGAAAATCATGTTCCCTTATCATTATTGACTTTCTATTCAGGAACGGTTTGCTAATATCGACGCAACCGAAAGCCTGTTGAGTTGTTACCCTTTTACCTAAATGGATGTATTCAGTAGAACAAAGTTGTATCAGTTAGTTTCTCAAGGGAGGATGGGCCAAAATATGCATTTCCAGGAGGCAATCTGTGCCACGGTAATAATGACATGGCCTTTTATACTAGACCATGGATCTCCAACCCTTTTCCTGCAGAGCTACCGTTCTGTAGGATTTTTCTCTCCAACCCTTACCTAGCACATATTTTTAATCAGCTGTTTGGTAAGATGAATCGGGTGAGTTATAACAGGGGTTTGAGTGACCCTACAGGAGGGTAGCTCTCCAGGAACAGTGTTGGAGAGCCCTGCGCTAGACCATGGTTTCCCAAACTTGGTCCTGCAGCCCCCTGGGTTCACGTTTAGTTTTTTGTCCTAGCGATACACAGCTCACTCAAATAACCAACTAATCAAGCTTGGTCTATTTGAAATCGGCTGTAGGGCAAAAACTGGGACACATGACCAAGTTTGGGGAAACACTGCGCTAGACCATCTCTTGTTTTACGTCAACCTACTGGTTATTTTATTTGGAGTCATTTTCAAAAGTGAGCTGTCGTATCCCTACGTTGTTCCCAGGGATTCAGAAATCTAAACAGTTTAAATGGCCTTATTAGGAGTTTTCTAAACAGTCCTTAACCTGTGATTTTTGATTTATCTTGTATGTGTTGTCGATTTGATGTTTTGTTCTATCCCCTCTCATAGGACAGTCCAGTGAAGCTGATCTATGCCTATGGGACAACTGATGACATTGGCTACCATTGCAAAAGTAGGGGGACCATTGAGGTAAACCTGCTAAACTTCATGCCCAGATCCAGCCCACTAGTCAGCAACAATGGCGGGTGTCCTCCACACGCAATAGGAGAAACGTGTCAATCTGTATTTATTGGTCAATAAATGTAAGGAATAATCCACTAAACTTCTTATGCTTTACATTAAATGTCTTACCATGTTTGAACATTATACACTGATGGATGTTTCATTTTGGTCTTAGATTGGAAGCAAAATGTGAATCTTAGAAATCTGTTGCAGCTCAAGTTTACAAAACCCGCAAGGTAGACTGGACCTTGGTTGTATCGATGACACAATCAATAGTTTTCCTGTATGTGGGCTTGTCTGATCAATGAATTTAACTTGACTATCAAGTCTAGCTATTATGTGCGTGCAGACTTATGGCTTCATCCTACTGAATCAAACAGAATACATGCCATTTTAATGTTAGGATGGGAGACTGATGCAGTTATTAGGGTCTAATTCATCAGGCACCAAACTGACTTAAGCGGGGAGGGACTAACTGCACTTGGCCAATAAGATTTTTTTTTTTGTCTTGTAGTGTAGGTTATTCGTAGGTGTTATCGTCAATCAAGGAGTCTGCTTAGGCTGGATCGTGTTCAAAGGCCTTTATTCAAACCACGAGGTTCCAGCGTAAGTACGGACACAATATCCGGAGAACCAGACCCAAATAAATCTTGCTGTATTCTAACTCTTCGTCACCGCTCCCCCCTTTATATAGCCTTCCAAGAGTTGAATAGCTCCCTCTACTGTTCAATCCCCGTATCTTACCACCCACTTCCTGTCTGTCATATGTGACGTCACGCTAAAACCTTCCCTCTTGATAGCAATAATCAACCTTCCATTTCTTCATGAAAAACCTTTAACAAAGACATAATTTTAATACACTACATATTCCCCCCTTCGAGACAAAACTAAAAAGTCTCGACAACAATAGGATTATGACCAGTAACAATTTATCTTATTGAGTATCTTTAACCTTAAACCAAAAACATTCTTCTCTAGAGTGTAAATACCTTTCTATGAAATAACTGTTTATGGAGTGTAAATACATTACTATGACATATGAACAACTGTTTGTGAAGTATGAATACATTACTATGACATATGAAGAAATCTCTATGGAGTGTAAGAGCGAAAAACTGTCTGGCAGCCATCTTTTCAGATATCCATCCATCAATCAAGACAGTAAAATTCTCTTACGGTCCCTCTGCCCCAGGCAACCACCTCGGTACTCCAGATAACCTCATAACCCATGTAAATACATTTGAAACTATAATACAATTAACTACACATGTAAGCCCCTGTAAACAAAATCCTATCCATAAACATCCATTCTCAGGCTGGTCAACCCATAGGACCTGAAAGGGAATCTCTCCCTGCCTAAACGTCCTTTCCCTAAACCCCATCGAAATAAACAAAAGCATCTAAGATCCTCATCTGCATTCAATAACATCAAACATCATTCTACTAAAATCAATACCTAAGAATATGACACAATTATGTATTACACATCAAATATGTCTATATTTCATTGCAGACACTGGAATGTAGTCCACTACACTTCATCTCCTCCGTAGTCTCGACTTCCAATGGACTTGTTAATGATGGAATCAGCCACACCCTCCTTGTTTCATCTCCTCCAGTCATATTGTCCCTTCATATTGTCTTTGTCTGAATATTCCAATCTCCACATGTTCTCCCAAATGCCTCTGGAAGAAAAAGAAAAAGACCAAACAGTATCTTTTCCAAAAAAACACTTTCAAATTAAACATCACTATCCACTAAGACTATAAAACTGATATATAAATGATGCATGAATCACATAAACCCATTCCCCCTTTGATTCATAAATCATACTAAAAATCACACTAATATTGAAAAAAAAATTTGTAAAATGATCAAATAATCAAAAAGGATATTTATCCATCAGTAGTCCATCTAGACCCCCTCGTCCATCTTCGTCCAGATCAGGAACAATCAACAACGGCATCTGAGTGTTGTCTCCAGGCATCACAACACCAACCCATCTTAATATCATAGCTTTTGCAAAGGTCAGTAACAAAGTACAAAAGCAAAACATCACACACAGCGCTATCAGAGCTGCGATTAAAATCTGAACCATCACTGCTCCTATTGGGCCTAACTGATCTTGCAACCAAGACTTCGCTGACCATCCAGCTTTCTCAGATCTTCCAAATGCATCCCTGATATTCTTCAAAGCATCTATAACACTTGTGATATTATCGGAACTATCTGGGATCAAAGTATAACAATCATCCCCCGTCAGATTCATAGCCAAACATAAGCCACCTTGTCTTGCCAAGATATAATCAAGAGCCATGTCATGTTTCAACAACGTCAGTCTGTGACTTCTTTGAGCATTTGACAGAAGGTGAAACCCTCTTATTGTTTCATTTGCAAAGCCCTGCAACGTATATGTAATATTATCAATATGATCTGCTAAGAATGTTACACCATACCATGGAAAAAGACCAAGTCCCCACTTCTCTCCCAGACTTATTCTCCAATGGTAGGCTTCAAGATTAGTAAATTTAGCCATTTCTCTTTTAACCCTATTTTCACCAGTAGTTTCAGATTGATCTGGGTTCGGTGCTACTCCTCTTCTAATTGTAAAAACCTCATATGGCAACTTCAACGTTGACATGTAACAACACCCTTTCCATCCATAGGGTAAAAATATATATGCTTTATCCCCACAAACCCACCAAATATCTCTAAAATTCCCAATAGTTGCATTGATAGGGAAAAATTGCTCCATCACCATCAAAGTCCTGCCCTTCTTACTACCTGGTGCATAAAAAGTTACATTATATTTGTCACCTTTACCCTTTCGTCCGTGTTTACCCAAAGTCAACATATACCCATCACAATCTGATATTCCCATGAACATACCATTTACCTCATCTGTATTATTAGAACAAATACAAGTTTTAGCTCTCACTGCTCTCACCTCAAATGCTTCAGGGATCACTGTCACCTGACTTTCTTTACCACCCACCATATTCACATAGGGAAATTCATTTAACCAAGAACACTTATAACTAGGCTTATACAAATGGTGTGACAACGACATGTCTTTGTCTGTCAATACTCGTTGATGATACAACAGCCATCTCAACGCATAGGCCTGACACCCACCCGCCAATGGTTGAGCAACCGTCTGTAAAATTGAACCCCACGTCTCTGGTGCTGGAATTCTCAACAGACATGGACCCTCAAGATTCCTCACTGATCTTACAGCATGAGTTAATTGCTGGAACCAAAGATTTCTCCCTGCCCATTGATCTTTAATTTTCAAAACCGCCGAATCAAATCCATATGCTTTCCATTTAGCGTCTCTTTTCCCTACCGAGCGGGATTGATCAGATGTATCTTCTGATGTTAAGTTGAACCCAAAAAACCCATCCTGTTCTTCCATGATATTATCATATACTATTTCAGATGAACCTATATTGTTTTCAATGACTACTTGCTGAGTCATTTCAGTTACATCGTTTACTTTTAGAAAAGTTGTTGTTGGTGTCGGTATCATACCTCCTACATTTGTTATTGCCGTCATACCTTTAAATCTTTTCAAAGTTAACATTAAAGTAGTTGATTTAGTTGATGTTTTTTGTTCTAAAATTGGTGCTGGTACTATCGGTTCCCTTGTAATCGAATGCGATATATTTATGGCTTTACCAACTGTCAATGTTGAAAGAGTTAAATTGCTTCCCATTGTTGTTCTAACAGACTGACGTGTTGGTGTTATTGTTGTTACTTCATTCCTAGTTTTCGTAACGTTTTGGTCTGACTTTTCTCCTAACTGGTCTAGGCCTATTTTGTCCAATCGAATCACTAGCTTCTCCTTTAACCGAGTTGCCCTTGGTGATCTCTGCTGCTTCACATCCCACTGAAATATTCCCTGTTGCTTCTGGGACGTATTGGAAATCAATTTCCCCAAATCCTCCTTCCTTTCCATCCCCTGCATAGTCATCTCTGGCATAATCAGAAGTGTCATCATTATCAACGTTAATCCCAACATTGACAATCTCTCCCTCTTCCTGTTCTCCCCTATCTCCATCTTCTCTCTCTACGCGTGGCACCTCTTCTGTAGGCGCTTTAACACAATGTGACAAATGATACCACGTAGGAGACCCCTTAACCTGCACAGCTGTTCCAGTACTACGAACCACTTCAAATGGTCCTTCACGACGTTCGTTATACCACTTCCTCCTGAATACCTTTACGAATACTTTGTCTCCCGGTTGTACTGTATTCCTCTTATCCTCCTCAGGCGCCTTCTGCACCTCTTCTTGTCTTTGCCTGTCAGAAACATATGTGGACAACTTTTTATAAAAATTGGCCATATATGTAACGTACGCTCTCATTTCATCTTCCAACAGGGCCAAGCTTGGACCCTTTCCGCTTGTTCGCAAACAAGGCGTTGGCATCCTTCTTCCTGTTACCAACTCATGGGGTGTCATACGTAGATCACGTAACTCACTTGAGCGACACACCATTAGTGCTAAAGGAAGCGCCGCTATCCAGTTTAGACCTGTATGTTGACAAATCTTCACAATGCGATTTTTCAACACCCCGTTCATTCTTTCACACATCCCCTGACTTTGTGGGTGATAAACTGCTCCAAGACGTTGCTTAATTCCCAATTTTTGCAACATCAATTTTACTGATTTATCCACAAATTCTCTTCCATTGTCTGAGGATATTCGATCGGGTAATCCCCACCTGCTTATGACTTCTTTACATAAGAACTTGGCAACCGACTGAGCATCCTTACGCTTGGTTGGACAAGCTTCTGTCCATCGTGAAAATCTATCTACAACCACCAACATGTATCTTTTCCCATCAACTGGTTGTATCATATCAACAAAGTCAATGACCAACTCACGCATAGGACCCCTGGGTGTAGGAATGTAACCTGGATGAACAGGTATCCCTCTTCGAACATTATTTTTAAGACAGATAGTGCATCTTCCTATCAAATAATCAATTTGTTCAAACAAATA